AACCTACGGCTAGCCGGGCTGCTTATGCAACCCACATGTGGCTGCTGAGGTGCGCATGGAGGTGCTCATGCCTCGAAGTGCTGCTGCTGTGTGGCGGGCCTGGTACACGCTATATGCATGCTTAATGCATCAAGAATGCGTGGTGCTGTGTGGTTGTTGGAAGATGCCCGCAAGTGCTGCTGGGCAGCAAGGCATGCGAGGTCCAGCAAGCCAGCCACACGCTGCTTGTGCCAGCATGCATGCAAGCATGCGTAGCATGCTGCGAGGCTGCTGGTACCAGCAAGCGTGGCGTGCGCTGCTAACCAGGCATGCAAGCAACCAAGCACGCACAACCATGGGCCTGAGTGCCTAGCAATCCTAGCCCCATGGCTTGGATGCTAGGCACTCGATCATTTGGTGCGATAATTGGGCCGTTTTATTATTTATTTAATTATGTTGACGAGGCTAGGCCTCGGTTCCTCCGGCACTTGCAAAATAATTTGACATAATATGGGTTAACCGGCTTAATTAATTGGATTGATTAAGTTGGATGCAAAATTTAGTGGGAGCTTTGTTAATTACTTGAACTAATTGCGTCTTAATCACATAAAATGATAAATACCTTTGACAAGTTTTAATTAGGCGCGTTAATCGGATTAACCACCTAAGTTAGTTACTAGTTTGCGCGTGTTATGCATTGTTACTTGTTTTTCGTTGTAAAATGAATGGGCCATTCACAAATAGTGAATGGATGAATGAAATGTATATTCTCTCATAGGTTTTGTGAAAATGGCAACTAGTGGGACCCAACTAGGATAGTAAATACGGACTGCAATCCGTTATGTATTTTTGTAAATCTAAATACGATCTGCGTACCGTTACGTATTTTTGTACCCTAATATTTAGATTAATTCTAGTCATAGTGACTAGTAGTTGCATATTTGGTGAAGATGTCTCGAAGACGACGTTTCTAAGAAGACAAGCCAAGAAGTTGCATCAATGACCCATGGAAATTTGAAGACTCAAGGGGTCATGCTAGTTGACAAATGCATCTTTAATTCTGTTCTATATATAAAATTGTGTTTATATATGATTAAATGGTATAATAGATGCATGTTTAGGATTTCAAATGTTGCGATGATTATTAAAGTTCACTTAAATCAACCAACATAGAAACCCTAGGTCCCTATAATATTGAGCTAAAATTTGCCATTCCAAGAACAACACTTACCGAACTAATGCGCGTAGTGATGGGCTACACCAAAGCGAGGCATCACTACTTTCCTAGGAACATAAGGTATACTAGGTATACAAGGTTGTCTTAGTTAAGCTCAACGATATCAGTAAGGATACCTTAGATGTCGTTGAAATAGAGATAAAATGTCATGGAAGCATTAGATGCGACGTTTTATCGAACCAAGAGTAGCTTGGAGCTATTAGCAATTGGATTGCTTACCTTAAAATATTAAGTGTTAAGATAAGCCAAAGCATGCTTAATCACTTTTTGATTTTTGGGATCTTGGAATCGTTTTATTTTCGCCTAAAAGGGACTAATATTAATGCGTGGATAAAACGCTCAATAAGATTGAAAATTTGCATGTATGCTTTAAATTTCAAACTTATTGGTTTATGAATGCTTTTTCATTTCAAATTCTTTCAATTGTAGAAACATGTCTACAAATAACTCAAACAACAACTCTATGTACCGGAACTCCTCGACAAGTTGGCTTTTAGCCTTAACTTAGTTAATTTCAAGGAATAGGAAGAGGAACTCAGAAAAACTCTTCGGAATTGTTCCTTGGAGTACACTCTTGATACTCCCATTCCATGCTTGTTCTTTAAGGGAATTATGCGCGATGAGGCTCATGATGCATGGTCTTCTGATTACAAGAAAGTCTCACGACTAATGGCTAATTCCATCCCGGAAGAATGGAAAGAAAAGCTCTCCTTCTATTTTTCGGACATGTTCCTCAAAGCACTTGAGGACGTTGTCAATGTGAGAGTCACCAAGAGTCTCAATGGCAACTATGATGGACTCGTGTTTTATGTTACTAGGTCACTCTCGAACATGAAGATAAAGCCACCGGAAGAAGGTTGTCTTGCTAAGGAAAGGCGTCGGCTTTGGTCAAGGGTCTACAATACCAAATTGAGACTCGGTATGGCCCTCCGACCTTATGTGCTTAGAATGACTAGGCTCTTCAAGCACATGGAGCTTCTCAGAATCTCATTGGAAGATGAGATGGCGGGTCATATCTTACTTGCTTCACTCCACTCGGGCTATGATGCACTTAGAGTGCATATAGCTCCGGGAAAGGAGACACACTCTTTAAGAGAGGTGGTGCAGCTACTTCACTGAGCCACCTCCTATGGAGTAACCGAAAGGCCCTTAAGAGCAAGGAAGAGGGAGTTCGAAAACAAGGCGAAGATGCGATGCTTCTATTGTGGTGGGAAAGGCTACTACAAGAGGGCATGCAAGATCTTCTGAAAGGACGAGGAGGAGAGGAATGTTTCATCTACCTCAGGTATCTTCATTAACACTTGTGTATAAGGCTGTTCAATGGTATTGGATACCGTGTTTAAGTCACTTTATGCTCCCATTTCAAGGACCAAGTGAGAGGGCTTCACAAGTGGATGTGCAACTACGAGCGGACGATAAAGATGGTCTTTTGTTCGTGCTTGTACATTTTGTCCATGGCTTGTAATTAACTAATCTTTGTTTATCATGCTTTTGAACATACTTTGATCTATGGTGTTGGACACCGGGTTATATTGATCACAAGACTATGACAATGGTTGTTTTGAATGTCTAGCTTATATGTTCTATGAAAATTGCATATTTTACATATGATTAGACAAACAAGCTTATAATGTTAACAACACTGCCAAATGAGCTAAGACCATCGAGTCGAATCAAATCTACTTGTTGCATTGTCGTCTTGGCCACATTAACATCAAACGCATCAAGAAACTTCTTCATGGCGGTATTCTTGACTCATTCAACTTAGTCGTTTAAAAATTGCGAAGGATGTTTACTAGGAAAGATGATAAAGCAACCATTCTCCAAGTTAGGTGAAAGGGCTAGTAACTTATTGGGTCTTATACATACGGATATATGTGGACCAATGAGTACACTCACAAGGCAAGGTAATCAATATTTCATCACCTTCAGCGACGACTATAGTAGATATGGCTATGTCTACCTTACGTAGAACAAATATGAATCTTTTAAGAAATTCAAAGAGTTTCAGAGTGAATTTGAAAATCAGCTTGGCAAGAAAATCAAGGCACTTCGATCTAATCGAGGTGGCGAGTATTTGAGCCACGAATTCGACGATCACTTGAAAGAAAATGGTATTCTTTCAGAATTAACACCTCTCGGAACTCCACAATGGAATGGAGTATCCGAAAGGAGGAATCGAACCTTGTTAGACATGGTCCGATCTATGATGGGTCTGAGTGAACTACCTATCTCTTTTTGGGGATACGTACTACTATCCGCGACACTAACACTGAACCGTGCTCCATCAAAAGCTGTCGAAAAGACTCCATATGAATTATGGACGAAGAAACCTCCAAGGTTGTCTTTTCTTAAGATTTGGGGTTGCGAAGCATATGTCAAGAGATTAATTTATGACAAACTTCACCCAAAATCAGACAAGTGTTTCTTTGTGTCACACCCAAAAGAAATGAAAGGGTATTACTTCTACAACAAATCCGAGAAAAAAGTGTTTGTTGCTCGTGATGGTGTCTTTTGGAGAAGGAACACCTTTCCAAAATGACAAGTGGGAGGAAAATCGAACTTGACGAAGTTCGAGAGGACGAGGAACAAAGTCAACCTGACAAAACTGACAATGATGACATTGGTCAAAGTCAATCTGACAATGCAAATGCTCAACCTATTACCCTGCGTAGGTCGCAACGACCAAGATCTCAACTAGACAGATACCTCGGTTTTGTCTTAAGCGAAGATCAAGACATCCTTATTATGGATGGAGATGAGCTAGCGACATATAAACAAGCTATGACAAGCCCCGACTCTGCAAAATGGCAAGAGGCCATGAAATCCGAGATGAACTCCATGTTTGAAAATCAAGTCTTGGACTTGGTTGATTTGCCCGAAGGTTACACACCTATTGGTTGCAAATGGATTTCAAGTTGAAAACCGACAAAGATGGAAATTTATCTATATACAAAGCTAGATTGGTTGCAAAAGGTTACAGGCAAATTCATGGCGTTGATTATGATGAAACCTTTTCAACAGTCGCCATGCTTAAGTCCGTCCGGATTATCCTAACAGCTGCTGCATATTATGATTATGAAATATGGCAAATGGATGTCAAAACAGCCTTCCTTAATAGGATTTTGGAAGAAACTGTGTTATATGACACAGCCGGAAGGTTTTGTTGTTCCAAGCAATGCTGGGAAGGTATGCAAGATTAAGAAGTCCATTTATGCACTAAAGAAGGCAAGCAGAAGTTGGAATCTGCGATTCGATGAAGCCATTAGTAAGTTTGGTTTTATCAGATGAGTCTTGTGTTCACAAGAAGGTCGGTGGGAGTGAGATCGCATTCCTCGCATTATATGTCGATGACATATTACTCATCGGAAACAGCACTAAACTGTTAGAGTCCGTAAAGGTCTGGCTGGGAAAGTGCTTTTCAATGAACACTAGGCGAAAAAACGAATTCCCCACCGGTTCAAACCCCCCCTTTCCCACCGGTTTTGAACCGGGTTCTATTTGGGGGGTGCTAAAACCCCATAGATTTCGCACCGGTTCAAAACCGGTGGGAAAAAGTACTTTTCGCACAGGTTCTTAGGGAAAACCGGTGCCAAAAACTAGACTTTTCGCACCGGTTTTTCTTAGAACCGGTGCCAAAAGTTTCCAAAAATATCAAAAAATAAACATTTAGCACCGGTTCTTCACTAAAACCGGTGCCAAAAGTGCCCCAAAAAATTTAAATTTTTTTTTTTTTTTTTTTTTTTTGCATTTTTTTCACTTAGATTTTACAAATATTTATATATAATCATAATATACATAAAACACATATATTTTCTTCAATATTTGTGTCATACATCCATTAAAGAGCACTACATCTTTGATAAATAGAAGAAAGAAAACAGACTGCAGACTGCAGACTGCTCCCACTGACCCAAGCCTGCAACAAAGAATGAGACAGCACAGCCACACCACGACTAGCAACCCAAGCAGCAGCTACAAGCAAAACAGCAACCAGAAGAAGCTACACCACAGCTAGGCAGCCAGTACCAGACCTAGCACGAGCTGTCAAAACCAGCAGACCAACAGCACAACAGTGCAACAGCAGCACAAACATACATCAACTTGTCAGTAAAGCAGCACTAAACACAATAGTGCAACCACAACAGCAGATAGCAGGCAGAACAATAGACCAGCAGGCAGCAAAGTTTGCATACCATTTCTCATAGAAATTATAAGAAAAGAATCGAGTTTTGAGTTCTAGAAAATGGAAGGGAAATAAATCTATATATTAAAAAAAAAATAAAAATTCAATTGTCATTCCTTAATTTGCCTCAAAAGCAAAGATTCTAATGATTTAAGAAGCAGCAATACCTTAACAGTTACCTTGCAAACCAGATCATAACATTGTCAACAGCAAAGATTCTTCTGACACTGCAGCAATCATAACAGGGTTTAATATTGTGGAAAAACCAGTAGTACTAACTTCTGGAAAGGAATCAGCAACTACAAATAATCACTCAGGTTCCATATTCAGCAGATCAAATGAAAAAAGAAACTGACTGAAGAAAATCATAACCATGACAAAAGGGGTAGTAAATCATAACCATGACTGTTTAGTAATCACCCTTCAACATTGGAAAAATAAGCAGCAACATCACCAAGCATACATTCATACAATACCTGAAGCGGTTCTGAAACTTGCTCCCACGCATCTGAAAAATTAAAAACATATTAGACAGTAGAAAAAATATATATATATATAAAAATAGGAAAAATAGACAAGCCCTTCTAATTTTCCCAGCCACATTCATGACAAGAAATTGCCCTAAAATTGCATTCAGCACCATTCATGACATTCAGTGCATTGGAACAGACATGATAGACGTTAAAGAGGCATGATATGGAGAAAACCGGCATAAAACCTATTGCTCAACCAAGTGTCCATATGTAAAAATACAAAATAATCTGTACTGAAGATGAGCTCCATGCTTATACATGGAGGGAAAAAAACAAATAAATCGAGTTTATAAAGAGGGAAAAAAAAGAGGGGGGGTGGCTGAATAGGTGAACTTACCTCTATGCCCAAAAGTGGATTCAGTCCATCCTCCAAACATCCCAACAAATATGCATCCTACAAAAGAGATGTGTATATTAGCAAATGTCCTTTTCATAGCCATGAAACAAGCAGGCTTCATAATTCAGTGACTCACCAATGAGCATGCCACCCCACAGACCAAAAATCTCACACTCACTTCATCGTCATGGATTTTAACTGTAGAAAGATTACTCCCAGAGCCATCTTCTTCATCACCATCATTAGCCTCGGTCAAAGCAACTTCAACAATGGGAGCCTCCCCAAGAAGAGATGCCCCCCCCCCCAGATTACAACCAGCCATTTGGCTGTTCCGGGGAACCACTACATTGTTCCGAATGCAATAAAGACTAAATGATGCATGAGCCAGTTGGAAAGCATCCCAGGTATGGCAGGGCGTACTGCATGGAAAAAGAGTTAAATTATAGTTCATAAACATATCAACATGCATAAGCAATAAACACCACACAATCAGGTTTTTCTCCATGCATTTGATCAATAACACAGGCCATATACTGATATTAACTGATCCCAAATTGAGGTACTCTAAAGCTTATTCACCTCCAGCCTTATATAAAAAGCTCTCCCTGAAGCTCCTTGGGAAATTAGGAGTTCTGTAAGTTTAACAGATGGTTAAATGTTTTTTTTTTTTTTAAAAAAATCTTTTATTTGAATATTCTCCCACATCAGAGACAAAACATACTGTCATCAAGAAACCTCTTATTGTCTTCAAATTCGCTCTTTATCATGCAAATTTTGGCCACAATAAGCTTGAGACATAATTTACTATTGTAACAACCACTACACCATTAGTACAATACTCCTACTATCACATAAAAACTGATGAAACATGAATCTCAGTTAGACTGCCAGATTGTGCAACACGTAAAAACAGGGGGATCAGTTGAGTGAGATTACATGGGAAATGATTTTTGCACTCCTGGTCCTTTAAATCCCTATTGCCCTTTCATTCTTCTTCATTCTTCGAAACTGTGTAAATGATTGTACTAATTACATACATATGTCTAAACTGTGTAAATGATTGTACTAATTACATACTTGTAGCATGTTAACAAGTGACATAACATGAATAGTAAACCATGGAATGGAAATAAGCTGTATATAATTTGCTTCTCCAAATATAATAGCAGTACTAAAATATGTTTATATAATCAAGAGGACAATATTATAAACTACTCCAGTAAGAAGTTGAGAGACATGAAATGCTATGTTTATGATCCCCCAAGCCAGCTGTTGTTTCTCAATTATCTTTACCCGCCGTCATAACTGCTCATCCAGGTAATTCACACACATTGTATAATTGCATACAATATCCTCCATATTTCAATTTTCTACACTAACAGTACAGTATTATTCATTTATTCCAAAAAATAATTAAATTGAAATTATTACCTGAGGTAAGTGATTGTAGATGCTAGGCGTTGAATTTTGGTATCAATGAAACTAGAATTTTGACCTCGACCGCAAAGCTTGTTGATTGAATCAATAAACCTAAAATGATTCTCAATCGAATAATCAAACATCGAAACTTTGATTTCCGAAGCATCGTCGGTAGCTAGTGAATCTTTCATCCATTCTATAATACCAAATTTAATTTATTACTTTTTATCAAATAAAGAAATCTAACTGACAGTGAGAACCTTTCATATTTAATAACAAAGTCACATTCACAGACAAATTGCTTAAACATATACAAAGTCTTTTATGAATCCAAACAAATCTTAGAATAATAATTTTCTTCACCACTTTGCAAATTGCGAGCACCACTTCATTGAAACCACCTCTACCCACATTCGATATGATAAGATACACAAGAATGCCCAATTCTCAATAAACTTAAGCACACTTTACAACCCAGTTTCTCAAATAATTTTTTTCACTACATTCTAAATTGAAATTTTAACTTGTGAAATTTATCATAGCAAATGAAATTAGAGAAAGTTATCAATACCATAAAATCTATCAGTAAGATTCCCATAAGTCAAAGCAAACAACAATTGTATAACACAACCATAAAATCAAGGACAACAATACATTTATCATCTCCTATTGCAATACCCCAATGCAAAGTTTCTTTCACCAGAACTCCAATTCTATTAACCCAGTAATCTTGCAATACCAGCCTATTTTCCTGATCTTTTCGCGGTGATTCTTTTGTTTTCCAATCGCGGTTAGTAAACGAGTATACAAAGGCAACCAACTCGGGATGAGTTAAGCACTCAGGAAACTTAATGGCAACAATGTAGTAGTCCTTATGAGATGAAACATAACCAAACCCAAAACTAAGGTTATCATGTAACAATGGATCAGTAGGAATATTAAATCCTTGAGGATTTTGAATCTCAATAAAAGTATCAGCATCAGTACGAAGAATAGGATTAAAAACCACAAAACGAAAATCGGCATCAGTACGAAGAACAGGATCATAAACCGACAAAGCTAAACCGTTACAAGAACCAACCAACCAATTCAAAGGTTCATTATTAGGGCATTTGCTGAAATCAAGATTATTCGAAGCAATAAAACGATTATTAGGGCCAAATCTGCAGAAATCAAGATTGTTATATCCATAATCAAGAGCCTCAAAGTTGCAAGAATAATCAAGGGTAAGAACAGACCTCGAGGAGAGAGAAGGCAAATGCGTAAGATTTTATGGTTTTGATAACATAGAACAAATTCACGAGTAATTCCATTAAAAATCAATCCAATAACACATTAATAACACAACCAGATTCGACAACCCTAAAACAACAACAACAAAATCAACCAACAATTCATCAATCGCAAACAAGATCAAAATCAAGAACAGCTAAAAAAAACAAAATCAAAACCAAATGGAAGCGAAATCGAAACAAAAAAGGAGCAGCTTCAATGGAGGTGAGAAAGCTCATATTCGGCTTCAATGGAGAATAGAGCACGATTCAATGGAGGCGGAGGTGCTGCTTCAATGGAGTGAGAAAGCTAGGGCAACCACTTCAATGGAGAAGGTGAAATTTCGGGATTCTAGATAGAGAACGAAGGCGAAAACGAGAGGAAATTAAAAGACCCTAACATGGAAAGAAAGAAGATGAAAATTAAGCAGCCCGATTTTTTTTTTTTTTTTTTTTTAATTTTGTAATTTGTACCGGTTTGAACCGGTGCGGAAAATATAATTTCGCACCGGTTTATTAGGAACCGGTGGGAAAAGTATTCTCCCCAATCCTGTCCATTTCTTTTCCCACCAGATTTCAAGAACCGGAGCAAAAAGTGCGCTACGTAATTCATTTTTTCTACTAGTGGAAGGACTTAGGAGAGGCACAGTACATATTAGGCATCAAGATCTACAGGGATAGATCTAAGAGGATGATTGGATTGAGCCAAAGTACTTATATTGATAAGGTACTGGCACGATTCAACATAGAAGGGGCCAAGAGAGGGCACCTACCTATGTCACATGGCATAACTCTCAGCAAGAAACAGTGTCCACAGACACCTGATGAGCGAGAGAGGATGATTCAGATTCCATATGCCTTGTTTATTTGATCTATCATGTATGCCATGATATGTACTAGGCCGGATGTATCGTATGCCTTGAGTGCTACGAGCCGATACCAATCAGACCCAGGAGAGGCGCATTAGACTATGGCCAAGAATATCTTAAAGTATCTGAAAAGGAACAAGGATAAGTTTTTGGTCTATGGTTGTAGTAATGATTTGGTTATTAAAGGTTATACCGACGCGAGCTTTCAGACTAACAAAAACGACTCTAAGTCACAGTCAGGGTACATATTCTACCTTAATGGAGGAGCGTTTAGTTGGAAGATTGCTAAGCAAAGCACCAGTGTAGATTGTACAACTGAAGCCGAATACTTGGCAGCTTCGGAAGCAGCTAAGGAGGCAGTTTGGATTCGTAAGTTCATTAGTGAACTTGATGTTGTACCCTCCATCAAGGGTCGGATATACCTCTATTGTGATAACAATGGAGCTATTGCTCAGGCTAGAGAGCCAAGGGAACATCAGAAGGTCAAACATGTCAAGCGGCAATTTCACATGATAAGGGAATGGAAGTCCGAGGGTGAAATCAGAATTTGTAAGATTGGAACGGACGACAATGTTGCCGATCCATTGACTAAACCTTTGCCTTAAGTGAAGCACAAAAAGCATGTTGAGGCAATGAGAATCAAGCATATTGGAGATTGGCTTTAATTTCTCTGTATATGTGTTTTAGTTAAACTTGATGTCTTAATGTAAAACACTATGTTAAATTATTCGATTTTGGAGCAATTAAATTTTCTACAAATTTATTATTACTCCATTTCTATTTAATTGTGGTTTAGAATTAAATAATGAGTCTGTTCAATTTCTGAGAATATTCAAAACAGGGTATCAAGACCATGTCTTGGATAAAGAAACACTTGTTAAGTAAACATTGAATATTTCAATCGAAATCCCTAATCAAGGTCATTTAAACGATGGACGATTAATAACCACTTAAGATTAGTGTGTAGTATGATTTATAGCACCGTTTCTTGTGCTATGAAACACTTGTTAAATCATTTTCACAGGTATTGGTTTAGAACTATACCGGATTGACCTATGAGAATACTTTAAGAGATATAAAATCGTCATAAGTATATTTCTCATCATAGCTATCAGAACCTTTTACCACGACCATGAGTATTGTAAGTTCTCTTGTTTGAGTACTAGTCCGTTTTTGATGTTGTCAAACGTCTGCCGTAAAAGGGGATTATAACGACAACACCCAGGCGACTAGGTCCTCTTAGTACGGGAAGCTAAAAATACAAGACTGGGACTGTCCCCCTATTAATAATAGGCAACATGTCTTTGTTGTTTACAAGGCCTCTTGAAGAGCGAGACTGTGAAAATACATGGCCGTGCTCAGATGAAATTAGAAATCATCTGCTAATTGACAGTCGAACTCGGAAATCGAGAAACACTTCTGGACGTAATAAGGATGACGAAGAATCTTACCTTATAGTTCATGAAGAGACATTAAGCGACATAGGAAAAGGGCTATACACTAATTGCACACTTGTCCGGAATGACAAGTGGGAGATTGAAAGGAATGGTGTCCTTCAAACAAGTGTATTATTCCGATAGAGGGTTTGGAACTATTAGAAAGATAATTCTTTAGTGAGGTCAAGTGATTGGAACGCCTAGGTGGAGGCCTCTTCTGATCAGTAATATTAATGTATAATTAATGTTACGGCTTAATCCTGACTGAACCCTTCAGGTCTTACCCCAATCGAGTAACTACTCGGAGGCGACGAATCAATCCGAAGGATTAGATGAGTCATTAGACTATTATCAACAAAGACGTCGGATATCGAGCTTAGAGCATCGAAACCGAGCGTCGCAAGTCAAGTCGAATTTTGTATTTAACGAGATGTAGAATAAAGCAAGCGACAAGTACGAGCTAAGCCGTAGCCTCGCATTGGCATAGCCATGCGAGTGCTAGGCTAGGTGAGGGCACCAATCGCATGCGTGCTAGCGTGGTGGGTATCGCACCCAGCCACACGCATAGTCGCAGCTAGGCTGCGCTTAGCATGCAAGCATCACAAGCATGGTGTTTTGCGTATGCGTGCTATAGCTATGTGTGTTTGCTAGCATGCTAGGGATAGCGCCCAGCCCATCGCAGCAGCATTGCACTCGCATAACAAATGCATCGCTAGCAGCGTGTTGTGTGCGTGTGTGTAGCTGTGCGTGCTTGCTAGTGTAGCAACACCAAGCAGTAGCAGCTAGGCCATGCCTCTCGCACAGCAACACGCATCGCAGCAGAAACCCGCATTGCGTGTGTGGCCTGCTCACTGTAGGCATGCGTGTGCGAGCTGGCTGGGCAGCCCAGCCTTGGTACTAGGCGCCAGCTGGCCTGCCTTGGGAGCCAAGGCAAGCTTCCAGCCAGCCATGTGGCGTGGTTAGCACCGGTCAAATATGGGGACCGGTCTTGGTGTTTGGCTTGGGGAGCAAGGAGTTTTGGTCCCCCCCCCCTTTGGTGGTCCTCACCAACCCTTGCTCTCCATATGGAACTTGGAGCTAGTTGATTGCATTACATTTTATTTTGTTTTTGATTAAAATAAATTGAGGGAAAAATGAAATTCTCCCACATTGATGGGAGAAGGGAGATCAAGGCTCCCTTCCCTATTAATACCCAAGTTTTGGGTTTCGGAAAAATCACTTGAGTTGACCTCAATAAGGCATCTCATCATTAGTGATAAAACCTTTAAGTTCATAATACTGTAGTTGTATTTGGTCAAGTCCCGACTAACCTTTGGGATAAAGACCGCTCGGGTCTGGTCGAGGGTGCGAGCCATCGAAGGCCTTCGCACTTACGAGCTTAAGCTTTCAACTAAGAGCTCGTTATCGAGCGAAGCACGCTTCGAGGGTAAGATTGTCTTTTCTCTTTCTCTCATTTTTGTTGTTTAAATATGTGATTTCATGTTTAGTTGCTTTAATTAGTGGGCGGGTCTTGGGCGGGTTTCTCTTCCGCGTAGTGTCGGACACTACGAAACCCAAAAAAATGTGTGTGATGCTAGTGGAGTTCCAAGTTGGAACTGGTGGGGTTGTATGGTTGGCCCAAAGCGACGCAAAAATATCGTATACGGGACCTTCTGCGTAGTATTCATGCAGGCTGCTCTATTTTGGTGACTTTAATGAGATCTTGGGGTTGAATGAGAAGAGTGGAGGGGCGGTACGTCGGGAGAGGCAGGTGGATGGGTTCTGGAATGCATTGGAGGATTGTGGCCTCCGTGATCTTGGGTATAAAGGTAGCATATACACTTCGGAAAGGGGCACGTTAATAAACACTTTGGTGTGGGAAAGACTTGACAGATATGCCACTTAGAATGGGTGGTGCTCTATGTTTCCGTTCGCATAAGTCATTAATTTCCCTATATGCCATTCTTATCATGCTGCTATATTATTGAAGTTTGGGGACAAGGATGAGTGTGATAGGAAGGGGAAAAATTTTCGGTTCGAAGCCCTTTGGCTATCATACGACGAGTGCAGCAAGGTGGTCTCTGATGTGTGGCTGAGCAGGGTGAATGAGCCGATTCATATAAGGATAGCGAGGGTGGCTGAGGACCTCTCCTTTTGGGCAAGACATAAGTTTGGCAGCATTAAACAAAAGATTAAAAAAGCTGAGAAAAGGTTACAGGATGTTCAAGGAGGATGGCTTGATGCTCATCGATTGGAGCAATGCAATAATATCAAAAAGGAGATTGATGAATTAAGGAGGCTTGAGGAGTCATATTGGCACACAAGAGAAAGATCGAATGAGTTGCGGGATGGAGACAAAAATACGAAATACTTTCACCATAAAGCAAGTCAAAGAAAGGCGAAGAATTTTATTTCGGGCATATATGATGAAAATGGCGAGTGGAAGAGCTCTGTGAATGATATTGATGGCATCATTGCTGGGTATTTTAGGGCTCTTTTTAGTTCTGATGACTAGACTAGCTTTGAGGAAGCGACACCTGCTATTGTGACTCTTGTCTCGGATGAAATGCGTGGTAATTTGGATGTTGAACCGACAGAGGAGGAAATTCTAGAAGCTTTATTCCAATTGCATCCGAATAAAGCTCCCAAACCGGATGGTATGCATGCCCTATTATTTTAGAAATTCTGGAATATTGTTAGTAGAGGCATGATTAATTTTGTAAAGGGGTGGTAGCATGGAGAAATTGACTAAGGAGAAGAAGTAAATCGAACCTGCATTGTGTGGATCCCGAAATGTAATGAGTCGAAGAGGATGACAGAGTTCAGACCAATTAGTTTGTGCAATGTTTTGTACAAAATAATTTTTAAAACTTTGGCAAATAAAATGAAACACATGCTTGGTTCTGGTTATTTCTCCAAACCAAAGTGCTTTTGTGCCAAATCGACTGATTATAGATAATGCTCTTATTGCCTTCGAGATTTTCCATTCTATGAAGAGGATGGGTCGGTGGCTTTGAAGTTGATATTAGTTAAGCGTATGACAGAGTGGAGTGGTGCTTTTTACAGAAGGTTATGCAAAAAATGGGGTTCCCGCAATCTTGGATTGATCGTATCATGAAATTTCTGGCTAGTGTGTCTTTCTCCTTTAAGAATAATGGTAGTATATCCGGATCGTTGGTTCCTACCCGTGGTCTTCGACAAGGTGATCCTATATCCCCCTATTTATTCTTAATTTGTGCTGATGCTTTCTCTACTCTGCTAGCAAAAGCGGCAAATGAGAATTTTATTCATGGTGCTTGAATTTGTAGGGGGGTCCCTAGAATTTCCCATTTATTTTTTGCGGATGATAGTATTCTTTTTGCAAAAGCTACATTGAATGAATGCTCAAAAATTGCTGACATTATCAGTGTGTATGAAAGAGCATCTGGTCAGAGTGTCAATCTCAGTAAAACTGAGGTAGCTTTTAGCAAATGTGTGTCTGCGGATCGACAAAGGGAAATAACGGCTACTCTTGGGGTTAGGGAGGTGGATAGGCATGGAAAATACCTTGGCTTGCCTACGATAATTGGAAGGTCAAAGAAGGAGATTTTTGCTAGTTTGAAAGAGAGGATTTGGAAGAAATTACAAGGGTGGAAAGAGAAATTGTTGTCTCGTCCGGGTAAAGAGGTTCTTATAAAAGCTGTTGCTCAAGCAATTCTCACTTACATGATGAGTATTTTTTAAGATCCTCGTGGCCTTATTGATAAGATTCACTCAATTTTGGCTAAGTTTTGGTGGGGTTCAAAGGGGTCGGAGAGGAAGATGGATTGGCAAAAATGTTAGTCTCTTTGCCTCCTGAAGTCAATGGGGGGAATGGGGTTTTGGGATTTGAGAATTTTTAACCAAGCTCTACTTGCTAAACAAGGGTGGAGGCTTTACAATAATCCGGGCCCCTTTCTTCACAGTTTGTTTAAGGAAAAATACTTCAAAAACTCGGACTTTTTAGAGGCGGCTAGGGGCCATGACCCTAGTTACAGTTGGCGGAGTATTTGGGGTGCTAAAGCTCATCTCCTTGGTGGGTTAAAGTGGAGGGTACGAAATGGTACATCAATTAGAGTATGGGATGACGCTTGGCTTATTGGTGAGAGCTCATACCTGGTTCCGACTCCCAAACCGGACAGCATTTTGGACCTTCGTGTGTGTGATCTGATTGATATGGAGCGTGGTTGTTGGGATAGGGGGGTACTGGATGCGGTGTTTAATGATGATGACAAACTTTCGGTTTTAAATGTTCCTATTTCTCGGAGTTTGCCTTGTGACAACCATTATTAGTGGCCCAATTCGAATAGTATTTATTCTGTTCGAAGTGGATATTGGCTCGGGAGGCTGGGTGTGTTAAGGGTGTGGGAGTTGACTCATGGTACGGGTGAATTAGATGTGTGGAAGATCATTTGGAACTTAGATGGACCTCCAAAGCTTAGTCATTTTTTGTGGAGACTGTGTAAGGGACAACTTGCTGTAGTGTTGTGCTGTGTACAGGAGGCATATTAGTGACTCAAGCAACTTTCGAATTTGTGGAGGTAACGATGAAACAATTGTGCATTCACTCTTTGAGTGTAGGTATGATAAGGATATATGGAAGTGCAGTGAATTTTGTGATTTAAATGCTGCTAACCTAGAGACTTCTTTTGCTGAGAAGTTATGTTGGATCGCAAAAAAGGTTAGCAAAGAGCAATTGCGTGTCTGTGCTTCGCTCTGTTGGGCTGCTTGGCACTGTCGTAATGAGCATATTCATGAAGACACTTGTAATATCAATGCTATGTGTTTAGCTATTGGTTTTGTGCAATTGAACGCTGGTTATGGGCTTTATAATGCTCGGCTGAGGGGGACTGGAGTACATGTGGTGTGTAATTCTGCTTGCTCGTGGTTTCCTCCATTGAATGGGGTTGTAATGCTGAACGTGGATGCGCACATTTTGAATGACAAGGGTGTTCAGTTCGGGGCGGTTTTGCGTGATGCTGAGGGTGCTCTCCTTGTTGCTGTAGTGATGAGATATGATGCTAGTTGGCCCCCCGAACTGGAAGAGGCAGGTGCATTGAGATATGGAATGGAGTTGGTTCGTAGGTTGGGTTTTGAGAAGGTGGTGCTTGAGAGTGATGCTCTTAGGGCTGTTCGTGCTATCCAAACTAAGCAAACTGGTGCTTCTCCTATCTTTCTCCTATATGATGATGTGGTTAGGATGAGTAGTAGTTTATCTTCCTTTTCTTGTAATCATGTTAAACGAGCAGGGAATACAGTTGTCCATTTTGTTCCTAGATGGGACACTAGTATGTTTCAGGAACGTGTTTGTATGAGTTCTTTTCCCCAAATTCTTCAAACTTTGATGGACCTTGATTTAATATAATTTCGCTCGTTTGGCATTAAAAAAACAAAAAAAAAGTAAAAATTTAAAATAACAATATGACAAAGTGCTACATTTTGTATTGGTTTTAATTTGGTTGACTTTTATAAAGTATGCATGTTTCATGTACCGTATTGATTTTAGTGGCTATATTGTATAAAACCTTACAGATCATCATTAGAAGATGCATGTTTAATTTGTCATGAGTTTTTAGTTTTTATTGGACATGATATCACTATTTTAGATCTAGATATTCAAAATATGTTGTTTTTTTTGGTTGCGTATGATTATATATAAGTAAAATATATTATGTATCTTATATTTTAGGAATGATAATAATACTTAGGCAGAATGCACGCTAATGTATGCTATTATTCTCCTTGATATTAGGCAGAAGTCAAGCGTCAGTTAGCTTTTGTAATATGTACGTTTATGTAAATAGTATTCATTGAAGAAAATATTCCATTAATTCTATTACATATTATTAGAATATATATTGTTTGTTAGTATCCTATGTTTATTGCTATATAATTATACGAGTATTGTGATTAACTATAATTTGCGAGGTCATAGAATATGTTATATGAATATTATATCTGAATTTTTTTTTTGCACAAGTCATTTGTTTTTTCATTGCTTATGAACCCTTTTTATACGAACAACTATGGAGTATGTTTATCTTTTATAAGCTCTAATTTTGAATATTATTTTGTATAGTGAAAAATGTCGAACCTTGCCAAACTTTAATTCATGGCCCTTGATATTATTGGAAAGAATTATTTATCATGGGTGTTAGATGCTGAAATACACCTAGATGTTAAAGGGCTTAGTGAAACAATCAAAGAGGCTAATGAGGCAACACCTCAAGATAAGGCTAAGGCCATGATATTCCTTCGCCATCACCTCCATGAAGGACTTAGAAATGAATATTTAATATTGAAAGACCCACAAATCCTTTGGAGTAATCTAAAGGAAAGGTATGACCATCAAAAAACAGTGTACTCCCTAGGGCTCGTTATGATTGCTTGCATTTGAGATTGCAAGATTTTAAATCTGTTAGTGAATATAACTCAGCTATGTTCAAAATAACTTCTCAATTGAATTATGTGAAGAAAATATCACTGATGCAGAAATGCTGGAAAAGACATACTCCACTTTCCATGCAAATTATATTGTCCTGCAGACACAATATAGAGAAAAAAAGGTTTTAAAAAATATTCTGAATTAATATCTTGTCTACTTGTGGCCGAGCAAAACAACGAGCTATTAGGGAAAAATCATGAATCACGTCCTACTGGCTCTACTCCATTACCTGAAGCGAATGTGACAACCCATAACGGGAAAGAAACTAAAAACAGAGACCATTCCAACAGTAGTGGTCGCAGTAGAGGTCGCGGTCACGGTCGTGGCCACTGGCGTGGTCTCGGTTGTGTGCGTGGATTTAGTGATAGAGGCCGTGGAGATCATTTCAAAAGCTCACATTCCCACCAGACGTGGGAATGTAAGGATGATAAAATTGAGAAAGAGAAAAGTGAGACCAATATATGTTACTGTTGTGGAGTAAAAGGCCATTGGTCTCGGGTGTGTAGAACTCCAAAGCATCTTGTTGAACTTTACCAAGAATCATTAAAGAAAGGAAAGAAAATTGAGGCAAACCTTGTTCTTGAAGATGGTGAAGGTGATTTTGATTTTGCCAATGCAAATCATTTAGAAGCTGTTGATTTCTTCACTTCCCACGAAGGGAATAATTTTTATTTTGGCAATGCAACTCATTTAGAAGTTGCTGATTTCTTCACTTCCCCGGAAGGAAATAATTATATTTATATTGATTTGTGTCAACTTCAAGTATTAGACTTAATCTACTAATTTAATTATGTAAATTTTAATGGTTGTAATAAAGACTTTATATGCCTTATTAATTTATGAATTATTTGGCAATTTTTATTGATTTATTTATTTTATCATCATTACTTTTATGCTTAATATTTTGACATGTATTTTATTTCATGAAGAATATGGATACTACTCAAGTTCAGTTTTCTATAAATGGTGAAGAATTATGTCTTGTTGATAGTGCAACTACTCATACTATACTTAAAAATAAAAAATATTTCTCTCATTTGATGATGAAATGATTAATGTGAGTACCATATCGGGTAGTACAAATATCATTGAAGGCTTCTGATAGGCGTGTCGCGTACCTAACAAAAATAACCTAACTATTCCTCCTAACTATGTAGTCGGGCAAGTAAGGGTCGAATCCCAAAAGACTAAGGTTCACCTAAACTATCTAGACTCAAGTAATCACTAAGCAAAAATCAATCAATGGTGGAATAAACTAAGAGCTAATGTATGGAAAACTAGAATAAATCAAAAGAATATAATGAATCAATAAGGTAAAACATCCAAGATCAAGTATCACCACAATTACGATCGATGCAATTATATATCTACCCCTAACATACAATTCCAATTAACATGGGGAAAAGCAAACCCTAATCAATACCAAGTACCTCTCTCGAGTATCAATGGCTTGCCTAACCTACAATCAAGCCTATTCTCATGGTATCATGCAACTTAGAGACATTAAACACTTTACTTCACTTCCCAATTATTAATTCAACTACTCTCGTGATGAATCTCAAACCCTAAATTAATTTACTCAAATCCGTTAAAACCCAACTCTCGTTGTGATTGAAACTATGGAATAATAACAATACTAATTATCTCTAATCTATTATTGGCATAATCATAATCAATTTAGCATAACAATTGCAATAGTTATTAGAGAATTTAAAGAATTAATCCATACATCAATCATAATTGGGCTACCCTAGATCTTGGAATAAGGAAACTACTCACACATATTGAAAGAAGCAATAACAATAATAACCAAGGAAAACATAATTGAAAACAAAAATAATTGAAAGAGAAAGGAATAGAGATGAATACCAATGATGCTTCAATTGAAATAACTCGAATTGTTGATGAACAATAATTAAATCTAATGAGAGAATTAAAATGCTTGAAAGAGAGTAAACTAGGGTTCTAGAGAGAAAATAATGCTTAAGGGAAATAATAAGTGTTTTCTAATTGTGATTACAAAGCGTATTTATACACCCAAAAAGATAGAATTGTGAAAATAAGCAAATCGGCTTCCGCAAAACAGTGCCCGGTCCCACTGGGCAAGGGGTGCCCGATCGGGCGGTTGGGATACGACACTTGCTTTCCTTCATAGCACATCTTCCACCACGTTCCCGGTCCAACCGGGCGGACAATGCCCGATCGGGCGCGTGAGGCGGTTTACATATATTGCTTGCTGCCTTCGAAAATCTCAATTATCATCTAATTCCTCTGTGCCCGGTCCAACCGGGCAAGACATGCCCAATCGGGCACATGGGGTCTTATGCAAATACTTCGTGTTCTACTCATCTTTCTTTGCCCTGTTTGACCGGGCAAGCTAGGGTCAACAGGGCATGGGGGAAACCTTCTTCTGCATGCACTAACTTCTTCTATAAACATCCAAAACATGTTCGATTCATCCAAGAAACTCCACATTCCTATGAAACTCACAAAAAATACATCGAACACACTAGAGAAGAGATTGTTAGCGTGAAATGGCTCTAAAGAGCCTAAAACCATGCAAATATACGTTGTAAAACCGGGATAAATCATAGTATAAAACACATACATCAAATTCCCCCAAGCTAACCTCTTTCTTGTCTCAAGCAAGGCAATAAAAAATAACAAATAATCAAGTAAACATACTTCACCCCATAATGCAATTGAAAATAGAGGACTCAAAATCGAAATCAAACAAGCATACATCATAGCCAACCAATCAAATCACTCAAACCATCAATCAACCTAAATAGTCGTCAAGTGAAATCAACCATGTACAACTTAAGAATCGATGACTAGAATATCTCACCTCGGTGGTCACTTAACACACTCTTTATGTGGCGAGCTAAAAATGAGCTCGATCTCTCACCGTTCCCACCAATAATACAATCCCCCCATCTCACAACACTCGCGTGTTTAGAGGGTTATAATATCGCTCAACCTAATCAAACGTCGACTCGAAATGTAACATATACTCCAGCATTTCGACAAAAGACTCGTTTCACATGAACACAATGCTATGCACGAAGATCGGAAGGACTTTTTCAAGTTTGTAACGTAGGCCGGGAATAAGAATGGCAAGAAATAATTTGGGAAATGTGGGCTTGATAGGCGTGTCGCGTACCTAACAAAATATAACCTAACTGACCACTACTATGTAGCAGGGCAAGCAAGGGTTGAATCCCAAGAGACTAAGGTTCAAAAATAATTAAATAGACTCAAATTCCTACTAAGCAAGAATCAATAATGATCGATTAATTAAGGAACTAATGTATGGAAAATCGAAAATAAACTAAAGAATATGAAGAAATCAAGTAATTAAAACATCCAAGATCTAGTAACACCACAATTACGCTTGATGCAATTATATTTCTACCCCTAACGTACGATTCCAATTGAATGGGGAAAAGTAAACCCTAATAAATACCAAGGACCTCTCTCGAGTATCAATGGCTTCCCTAACATACAATCAAGCCTACTCTCATGGTATCATGCATATTAGAGACATTGAACACATTACTCTAACTTCCCAATTATCAAACCCAACTACTCTTGTGTTGAATATCAAACCCTAAATTGATCTACTCAAATTCGTTTAAACCCAACTGTCGTTGTGATAGAAACAATGGAATAATCACAATACTAAGATTACGTCTAATCTAGCATTGGAATAATCATAATCAATTTAGCATAGAAATTGCAAAAGTCATTAGAGAATTTAAAGATTTAATTCATGCATCAATCATAATTGGGCTACCCTAGATCTTGGAATAGGAAATCTACTCACTCATAATGGAATAAACAATAACAAAGATAATTAAAGAAAACATAATTAAGAAATAAGAGATGAAAACAAAATACCAAATCTTGAATTAAATTGAAGGCGGAAAGTGTAAATCTTGAATCTTGAATTACAAAAGTAAAGAAAATAAAATAGAGAGAACTAGTTCTTAATAAAGTAAAATAAAAGGCTAGAATAAAACTTAATGAAGAAATAAAACACTACTTAATATATATATATAGCCCTAGAAAGATAAGAAGATAACAAAGTTTCTTGGCGCATAATCCTCCCAGGAGGCACGGACGTGCCCCTCAGTAGGCACGGACGTGCCTCTATGGCAGAAACTTTGGATTAATTCTTTCGCGATGAGGCACGGACGTGCTTCAATGGGGCACGGACGTGCCTCCTCTGCTGCGCATATCACTCATCATAAATCAGTCATAACTTCATATCCGGAGCTCCGTTTGAGGCGTGTAATATATCGTTAGAAAGTTCTTCAAGTCTACTTTCCAATGAAATTTGAATAACTCCATTATCATTTGTATCTCAAAAGTTATGAGCGTAATAGTGATCAGTTGTCATATTAGTCAAGTATTTCATCAACGTTTTGCTTCATTTTTGCTCAATTAGCTCCGTTAATCCTGAAATACATCAAAAACAACGAAACTACCCATAAAAGCATCGAATCATCGAAACTAAACCAAATTACACCAAAATGGACTAAAACACTCAGCTAAGCTAATAAAACCAACCAAAAACAAATATGCACAAAACACGACTTATCAAACTCCCCAAGCTAGACTAATGCTTTTCCTCAAGCATTTAACCATGAATCACAAGGGAGGAGAAAGACAACTTCTCAAACCATCACAATGTGCCATCAATTTGAAATCACGAGGAAAACAAAAATAAGAGTCAATATGCATAAAAACCACCATAAACCTCATATACTTGGAATCGACAAACATCTTATCACACATCTCCCCATACCAACTCACACAAACATAAATAGCTCTCACTTTAGTTGTGAAAAATAAAAACAATAAACGCTCATGTGTTTACGGGGTGAAATATGATATCACTCAACCTAAGCATAGAATGCATGTCAACTTCACATGAATCGGCCTCTTTAGGCTTGCAATGTGACTTTCTCCACTTCTAATGATTGATGCAATTACAAAAGTAATGAAATCCATAAAGGGTAAGCTTAGTAAACAAGGGTTGGACGACGTTATTTAGGAATGTGGTGCTCAAAATATAACAAATCCTAATCCCACTACACATTCAAATGTCGGGTTCAAACCAACCTTATTTCCTCCAACTTCATACAAAATAAGCATAGCCCGTTATTTCTTTCTTTTTCCTTCTCGTTTTTTCTTTTTTTTCGATCATACCTTTTTCTCCTTATTTTTTTTATATATTTTTTCTTTTTTTTTTCACAAAGAGGAAGGGACTAATTGGTAATTAGGAAGACTCCTTTTTAAAAAAAAAACTTTTAAAGCTCTTTTTCTTCCTTTCTTCTTTTTTTTTTCTTTTCTTCCTTCTAATAAATACATTCCCTTCTTTCTCTTTGTTTTCTTCTCTTTTTCTTTATTTTTTTTATACATCACTCATAGGGCTTTAATAAGTGTAAAACACTTCAAATAAACCTAGAAAAATAGCTCTATGGCTTTAAATGTAGGGTATCAAGAAGGGGTTAAAACACGACTCAAATTGGCTCAACCTACGGGTGAATGGAAAAAAAAAAATAAGTAGGCCTAAAATGTGGAGGCTCTATTCTCTACAAGGAAATTTCAATCATTTTTTCGCAACATGCATCATTCAAGTCTCAAACAGTCAAAAAGCAAGACCAAGAATTCAATTAAGTGAAGGACAAACTAATCACACAAGAAGAAACATGACTGAGATAGATTGAAATCAGTCAAATATGGCTCAAAACTCTCACCGGGTACACAAACTATTCACATAAGTAGAGCGAGGAGACCATCCTGGCCACAAACCAACTCAATTCAAAGCAAATCGGTGAATGGGTTTTCGAAAACTATTTTCGCAAAGCACACATATATAATTGTTATCATAGAAGTATAGTCATGTAATGGCATATCAATCAACACTAAAAAGAAATAAACTAGCCAAATACTAAAAGAAAAACTAATATATACATGGTGAAAAGTGAATCCTCCCCCAAGATAAACCATACATTGTCCTCAACGTATGCAAAAATCAGTGTAAAATGGGCAAGGGGAGAGGGAAACAGATCTACTTATCGGAAGGGGGAAAACAATACCTCGGGTCGGAGCTAGGTTGGAAGCACGGACGTGCCTTATTTCGTGGACTCCATCCTCGTAGAATTTGCTCTTTTCACCTATTTAGATAGAGAAAATAACATCAAGAATCAAAAATAAACTCTTTTCACCTATTTAGATAGAGAAAATAATATCAAGAATAAAAAAAAAATAAAAAAATAAATAAAAGAAAAGTAAAGGATCGAGAATGGGTTGCCTCCCATTTAGCGCTTGTTTATAAGGTCTTTAGCTTGACCGTAGTGATACTCATTGGCTCAACCGGGATCACCACACGAAGGGGGAACTCCGCAATGTTGCCCATGGGAATGATTGCCTCCAAGTGACTCCTTCATTTTATTGTTTACCTTCCTTATATCCGAACTCACCATCATGTGGCCAAGCACATCATCGGGTGGAATTTTGTCCTTGCTTCTCTCGAAATTTCTATCAAATACATACTTATCAAACAAAGGGTTAGTAGCATTGATTCTTAAGCAAATACCACCATCAAATTTAAAATTATGTTCATCAAAGAGCTTGAACATGACTTGTTTATCCTGGGCCCTAATAGTCACTTGTCCTTTAGGAACATCTATTAAAGCTTGACTTGTGGCAAGGAATGGACGACCAAATATAATCGGGATCTTATGGTCTTCTTTCATGTCCATAACAACAAAATCAACAGGAAAAACAAGTTCACCAACCTTAACTAATACATCTTCAACCACACCCTTAGGGAGTGTAGAGGTCCTATAAGCTAATTGAAGAGAAATAGGGGAAGGTCTAAGTCCTTGCAAGCCTAAACTCTCATATAGTGAATAGGGCATTAAGTTAACACTAGCACCTAAATCTCACAAAACCCTATCGAAAAATTTCTCGTTTATCGTGTAGGGAATAGTGAAACTACCAGGATCATGCAGCTTAGGTGGTAGGTTATCATATAAGAGAGTAGGGCCCTTCTTATGTGCTACTTCATTATCCTCACGTTGATCTTTGATATTCTTTACAAAATTTGCAAATTGAGGCATTTGAACTAAAAGATCAGAAAAGGGAGTAGAAACGTGTACCTTCTTGAGGGCTTCACAATATTTGCCAAATTGTCTATCGAGCACGGCTTTTGACAACCGTTGCGGGAAAGGCATCGGTTCCTCATAAGCCGGTGGAGCCACATATTTGGAGCTTTGAACATCTTTGCCCTTTTCGTCTTTTCTAGACTCCTCACTGCACACTTTCTCAACAATTTGCCTTGGAAAGGCTTCATCTCTTCTCAAGAAAACAGCATTGCATTGTTCTTTTTGAACCTTTGCTTGATCTTGAAGAGTTGATAGGCGACTCACCTGTTGTGAAAATTGGCTTATTTGGCTTTCCATGAGCTTACTATGGGCTTGCAACTGTTGGATTGAGTTACCTTGTTGTTGGATAGCACTATTGGTTGTGGTAATAAAGCTCTCTATCATCACTTCAAGGCTAGATTTTTAGGGTTGTGGTTGCATTGGTTGTTGGTTCATGGATGGTCTTTGTTGGAAACCAGGTAGTGGTTAGTTGTATTTGTTGGGTTAGGGTGGTGGTGATGGATTTTGCTGTGCTTGGGTGTTCTTGTATGATAAGTTTGGATGGTGTTTCCAACCTTCATTATAGGAATTTGAGTAGGGATCATAAGGATTTTTGGGATTTGAGGAGTAGAAAGCATTGGCTTGTTCAATGGACATCTCACTCGAGTTCTGCAGGCAATTTGGTGCGATATGGCCCTGCACATTACACATTTGACAAACCTCCTGGGGGCTAGTAGAAGATCCAGCTTGGAACTTATTAAACCTGCTTGTTAGTGTCTGCACAGAACTAGCTAACATAGTCAAAGCATCCACATCAAGCTTACCTCTTTTTTTCACAGTATGTCGGCCTCCTGGATGGTAGTTGTCGTTGGCCACCATCTTCTCTATAAGCTCCTTTGCTTCAGTGGGGTTCTTTGTCAAGAGAGAGCCTCCTAACGCAGCATCAATATAGATTCTGAACTCATGAGTCATGCCATTATAGAAGGTTTGAATTAATATCCACTCTGGAATGCCATGATGAGGGCATTGTCTCTGTAGCCTCTTAAACCATCTCCAAGCCTCATAGAGAGACTCATCATCTGCCTGTCTAAAAGTGGATAGCTCATTCCTCAACCTAGCAGTCTTCTCGTGTCCCAAAAACTACACTAAGAAGGCTATCACTAGCTTGTCCCACGTATCGAACGAGCCAGTGACTTCATCTTTCAACCACTCATTTTCCCTATCCCGTAATGAGAAGGGGAAAAGGCGTAGTCTAATAGCATCATCTGTTACACCATTCATTTTCATTGTATCACATTTCTCCAGAAAACTATCAATATGACTTGTCGGACAATCATGTGCTAAGCCTGCGAATGAATCATTGGAGATAAATTGAATGAATTGTGGCATAAGCTCGAAGTGCTGAGCCGTTACTGGTGGCCTGACAATGCTAGAAAGAAGTCTGGTAGTCGTCTTAAGAATACCGTACTCCAAAAGGGATTTCGTGGCGTCCGTCATGTTTCTATTGGTTTGATTTCTCCTTCTTCTTCTACCTGCTCGTCTTCTTGCGGTTGCTTCGATTTCAGTATCAAAAGGTACTAGATCTTCTGAACCTGAGCGTCGTGTGGGCAAGTAACAAGAAGACTAGAGAAAGAGTATCAAAAACACAAGAGAAAATAGCCGAAGCAACAAAATAAGCCTAGCAAAAACGAATCACAAATAATCTAATGAAACTGTTAGTTCCCCGGCAACAGCGCCAAAATTTGATAGGCGTGTCGCGTACCTAACAAAATATAACCTAACTGACCACTACTATGTAGCAGGGCAAGCAAGGGTCGAATCCTAAGAGACTAAGGTTCAAAAATAATTAAATAGACTCAAATTCCTACTAAGCAAAAATCAATATTGATCGATTAACTAAGGAACTAATGTATGGAAAATTCGAAAATAAACTAAAGAATATGAAGAAATCAAGTAATTAAAACATCCAAGATCTAGTATCACCACAATTACGCTTGATGCAATTATATTTTTACCCCTAACATACGATTCCAATTGAACGGGGAAAAGTAAACCCTAATAAATATCAAGGACCTCTCTCGAGTATCAATGGCTTCCCTAACATACAATCAAGCCTATTCTCATGGTATCATGCATATTAGAGACATTGAACACATTACTCTAACTTCCCAATTATCAAACCCAATTACTCTCGTGTTGAATATCAAACCCTAAATTGATCTACTAAAATCCGTTTAAACCCAACTCTCGCTGTGATAGAAACAATGGAATAATCACAATACTAAGATTACGTCTAATCTAGCATTGGCATAATCACAATCAATTTAGCATAGCAATTCCAAAAGTCATTAGAGAATTTAAAGATTTAATTCATTCATCAATCATTATTGGGCTACCCTAGATCTTGGAATAGGAAATCTACTCACTCATAATGGAATAAACAATAACAAAAATAATTAAAGAAAACATAATTAAGAAATAAGAGATGAAAAGAAAATACCAAATCTTGAATTAAATTGAAGGCGGAAAGTGTAAATCTTGAATCTTGAATTACAAAAGTAAAGAAAATAAAATAGAGAGAACTAGTTCTTAATAACGTAAAATAAAAGGCTAGAATAAAACTTAATGAAGAAATAAAACACTCTTTAATATATATATAGCCCTAGAAAGATAAGAAGATAACAAAGTTTCTTGGCGCATAATCCTCCCAGGAGGCACGGACGTGCCCCTCAGAAGGCACGGACGTACCTCTATGGAAGAAACTTTGGATTAATTCTTTCGCAATGAGGCACGGACATGCTTCAATGGGGCACGGACGTGCCTCCTCTCCTGCGCGTATCACTCATCATAAATCAGTCATAACTTCATATCCGGAGCTTCGTTTGAGGCGTGTAACATATCGTGGGAAAGGTCTTCAAGTCTACTTTCCAATGCAGTTTGAATCACTCCATTATCAATTGTATATCAAAAGGTATGAGCGTAATAGTGATCAGGTGTCATATTTGTCAAGTATTTCATCAACGTTTTGTTTCATTTTTGCTCAATTAGCTCCGTTAATCCTGAAATACATAAAAAACAATGAAACTACCCATAAAAGCATCGAATCATCGAAACTAAACCAAATTACACCAAAATGGACTAAAACACTCGACTAAGCTAATAAAACCAACCAAAAATAAGTTTACAAATATGCACAAAACACGACTTATCAAGGAGGTTAGGAATTTTCGGATGTGCGGTTTATGTCCCAATAGCTCTACCACAATGCTCTAAGATGGGTCCGCAAAGCAGGTTAGGAATATATGTTGGATTTGAATCTCCATCAATAATTAAATAACTTGAGCCTACAACAAGGGATTTATTTGTAAGGTTTCGTAGTGACCCTCACTACGCGGAAAGAAACCCCCCAAGACCCGCCCCGATAACTAAAGCAATTAAAGCTGCAAAACATAATTAGTACATAAGTAAAATTTGAAGGGATAAACGAATTATACCCTAGACGCGTGCTTAGCTCACTAAAGGAATTCTTACTTCAACCTCGCAAATGCAACGCCTCCGACGGTTCGTACCCTCGAACCCGACCCGATCGTCCTAAGTCCCGAAGGTTAGTTGGGACCTGAACAAAATATAAACTTGGATTTTTACGAACTTAAGGTATTCTCAACAATGGAGATGCCTATATAGTTCCACTCAAGTGTGTTCATTCCCAAATGCCAAAGCCTTGGTATTTATAGGGAAATGAACCCTTGGATTTCATTCTCCAACTAATGTGGGAGAATGAGAAAATGTGATAATTTATTTAATTCTAAATTAAATAATTAATCAAGACAATCACTATGCAACAAGTGTCAAGGGGGGAGAGAGAGTTAGGTGAGGACCAAAACCAATGAGGGAGACCATTGCCTTGCTCCCCAAGGCTTTGCTCCAAGTATAGCAATGGCTGGGCTGGCAGCCAGCTATCACGCCAGCATGCACCAGATGGCATGGCTAGCACGCACCACTGGGCGCTGGGCGAGGCTCCCTTTGCTGCTGCTGCTTGCTAGCCAGCACTTGCACTTGCACTCGCACACGCACACGCACAACCTTGCTAGCTGGTGCGTAGTGCTGCTGCCTAGCCCCTTCTCGCACACACTCGCATCGACAGCATGCGTGCTGCTAGAGAGCCACGCATGCTAGGCATTGCCTAGCCAGCCACGCGCACAAGCATGCGATGCTTGGTGCTGTGCTAGCGATGATGCGATGGCATGCATGCACACGCACACACGCATAGGCCTAGCCATGTGATAGTGCTGTGCTGCGATGGTGTGACAGCATGCATGCACACGCACACACACATAGGCCTAGCCATGCGATAGTGCTGTGCTGCGATGGTGCAACCGCCCTAGGCATACACACACGCAAGTGCCTAACACTGCGATGGTGTTGTGCTTGTGCGATGGGCTGCGATTGTGATGCTATGCCATGCGAAGGCTGCGATGGCATCTAGGCACCCAAGCACGCATGCTGCGGTGGTGCAGTGCCATGCGAAGGCACGCATACACGTAAGCATGCTGCTGCGATGGGCTTCCTTGTGCGCCCGGCACACATGGTGCGCCTAGGCTTGCGATGAGCTAGCCTAGCCTAGCACTCACATGGCTAGGCCGACGTGATGCTACGGCTATGCTTGTACTTGTTGCTTGTGATTTTGCGACGCTCGGTCTCGACGCCCTAGGCTCGATATCCAACGTCTGTGTTTGTAAAACTTTGACGACTCATTAAATCCTTCGGATTGATTCGTCGTCTCAGATCGGTTGTTCGATTGGGTTCGACCCGAAGGGTTCAGTTAAGATTAAGCTTTAATATTAATTGTATCTTAATATTACTGATCGGATCACTCGACCTTACTGAAGAATTAGCTCTATAATAATTCTGAACCCTCTATCAGAATAATACACTTGTTGGAAGGACACCATTCTTTTCATTATTTACGGCTCGTTTTGCAGATTGTCATTTCAACGAGTCAATTTTTCCAACATTAGGGGAAGAAAAAAGAGAGCTTGAAGAGAAAATTAAATAGAATGAATTATCATTATCTTATCTTGATCCTCAAACTAAACAATGTGAACTAGAAGTTCAAAATATAATTCATTTACAAAGTTTAGCAAATCAATTGCCAGACTCGTTTGCTGACCTAAAAAGAGTGACTAAGTGTCATGGTCCGAGTGTTTTGACACCGGGTCGTGCGGCGCGTTCTTATCTTTTGGTGATAAGGACACAACCCTGGAGTGGAAATGGTACGTGAGCACACAGCAACACGAACCAAGGGTATCTCAAGGAAGCACATGTCTACAACGATTGCGAAGTCAGGGATTGTGACGGCCGATATTTCGAAGCGGGCATGACGACAACGGGGGTGTCATTTGAGG